TTGGGTCTAGCTACCGGAGAAAATCTTGGTGAAAGACGACCGTACAACGAAGTAAGATATGGAGGTTAATGGTTAACATATATACTTATACAACGTTTATTCCCATTCCCGATTGAGCACAAATGCTCCATTTTCTATAAATCCTAAAACATGTGAATTGATAAAACTGTTCAGGAATATAAGTTAAATATTGGTTTTGATGCTGATTCAGGTCAAAGGGGAGTGTAGTCGTAGTTTCAGGTTAAAGGGGAGTGTAGTCCTAGTTTCAGGTTAAAGGGGAGTGTAGTCGTAGTTTCAGGTTAAAGGGAGGGTAGTCGTAGTTTCAAGGAACCTGTTTATATAGGGTATCATGTTCTATTCACAATAGTACCCTTAAAAGCTTTGTCTGAACAGGATTGAATAAGATATCAATCTTTTTCTCCTTAAAATTTCATTACTTTCGATTGTGATGTTCAAGCTAGAAAAATGAAGATATCTCCCACATTATTGATCAGATAAAGTTTGTGAAGTACAGTTGTGAATCATGAATGCCCATCTTGAGGGTCACTTGAAATATTTTCACAGTCTCTTAAAACGGGCAAATGAATAAGATTTCAGTTTCTGATCAATAAAATATACGATACAGGGGATACAATAGCATATAGAATACAGGAGACACAGCAACATATAGGGTACAGGGAATACAATAGCATATAGAATACAGGAGATACAGCAACATATAGGGTACAGGAGATACAATAGCATATAAAATACAGGAGATACAGCTACATATAGGATACAGGAGATACAATAGCATATAGAATACAGGAGATACAGCAAAAAATAGAATACAGGAGATACAGCAACATACAGGATACAGGATATACCTCAACAAATAAGATACAACATATGCAGCAACATATAGAATACATACACAATATACAACAACATATACAGAAAACAGGAGATACTTCAACATATAGAATACATGAGAAACAGCAGCATATAGAATACAGGAGATACATCAGCATAAAGAATACATGAGATACAGTTGCATATAGAATACAGGAGATACAGTTTCATATAGAATACAGGAGATACCTTAGCATATAGGATACAAGAGATAACTCAATATAGTATATAGGAGATACCTCAACATATAGGATACAGGAGATACAGCAGCATATAGTATACAGGAGAAACAGCAGCGTATGGAATTTAGGAAATACAACATATAGAATACCGGAGATACAGCAGCATATAGGATAAAGGAGATTCCTCAACATATAGGATACAGGAAATCCAACAAATATAGAATACAGGAGATACATTAAATATAGAATACAGGAGATAAAACAGCATATAGAATACCGGAGAATAAACAGCATATGGAATACCGGAGATACAGCAGCATATAGGATAGAGGAGATAAAGCAGCATATAGAATACAGGATATACAGCAAAAAAAGAATACAGGAGATACAGCAGCACATTGGATACATGGAGATACAGCAAAATAAAGGATACAGGAAATACAACAAATATTGAATACAGGAGATACATCAAATATAGAATTACATCAAATATAGAATACAGGAGATAAAACAGCATATAGAATACTTGAGATACATCAAATATAGAATACAGGAGATAAAACAGCATATAGAATACTGGAGATACTGCAGCATATAGGATACAGGAGATAAAGCAGCATATAGAATACAGAGGATACCTCTAAATATAAGATACAGGAGATACAGCCAAAAATAGAATACATTAGATACAGCAGCACATTGGATTCATGGAAATGTAGCGAAATATAGGATACAGAAGATACAGCTGCATATGGGATACAGGAGATAAAGCACCATATAGGATACAAGGAGATACATCAAAATAGATAAAAAAGATTCCTCAACATATAGAATACAGGAAACACAACAACATATAGAATGCAGGAGATACAGCTACACATAGAATACAAAAGATACAGCAGCATGTAGAATACGGGATATACAACAAAATATAGAATACAGCAGATACAACAACATATAGAATACAGGGGACACAACAAAATATAGAATACAGGAAATACATCCAATATAAAATACAGGACATACAGCAGCATGTAGAATACGGGAGATACAACAAAATATAGAATACAGGAGATAAACAAAATATAGAATACAGGATATCAGCAGCATATAAAATACAGAGGATACCTCTAAATATAAGATACAGGAGATAAAGCCAAAAATAGAATACATGAGATACAGCAGCACATTGGATACATGGAAATATAGCGAAATATAGGATACAGAAGATACAGCTGCATATGGGATACAGGAGATAAAGCAGCATATAGGATACAAGGAGATACAGCAAAATATAAAATAAAGGATACAGCTGCATATAGGGTACAGGAGATACAGCAGCATATAGGATAAAAATATAAAATACAGGAGATAAAGCAAATATTGTATACAGAAAGTACAGCTACATATAGGTTACAAGAGATACAGTTGCATATAGAATACATGAGATACAGTTGCATATAAAATGCAGGAGATACAGTTGCATTTAGAATACAGGAGATACAGTTGCATAAAGAATGCAGGAGATAGAGCAATATATATAATAAAGGAGATGCAGTTGCACATAGAATACAGGAGATACCTCAACATATAGAATACAGGATATAACTCAATATAGGATATAGGAGATACCTCAACATATAGAATACAGGATATAACTCAATATGGGATATAGGAGATACCTCAACATATAGAATACAGGATATAACTCAAAATGGGATATAGGAGATACCTCAACAAATAGAATACAGGAGAAACAGCAGCATATGGAAAACAGGAGATCAGGCCAAAAAGAGGGAGGGTCGTGCGTATCCCTAATCTGTGCAGTGTATAGTGTACAGTGTACAGTGTACAGTGTAAAGTGTACAGTTTACAGTGTACAGTGTACAGTGTACAGTGTACAGTGTACAGTTTACAGTGTACAGTGTACAGTGTACAGTGTACAGTTTACAGTGTACATGTTTTGAGTATCAATTAACTTAATGTAGGATCTTCAGTTAATGTATACTTGAGATATTGAGGAACTATCGTAGATCCGCCAATTATATTCTTCTTATTTTCTTGCAGGTTCAGAAGCTCATAAAGCTTTAAAAAGAAATATTATATCATATATTCACCATTACAAGGTAACATGACTGTTGAAGTTTTATATCTTGTAATTTACTAGCTTTGGTCCATCAAAATATTTCTATAACTTTACGTACTTACAAAGAAAACGGAAAAACATAATGTTTTCTCCGCTTAACAATGTCAATGTAACCATGTAAGCCAACAGATATTTGAACTGTGAACCATCCCTTAAAAGACGAGGAAAAATTGTCAGCTCGCCAGAAAAGGGTCCAATTTAATCATAATAACCAGAACCATGTCGGAGAGATTAATCGACCAAACAGATTAGCTTTATCTCTATTAAAGGAGAAAATGAATTTAACACATTCCGTGTTTAAAAAAATTCCAGATTCTTTTATAAGTGAACGACTCTAAGCCCGCGATTTAAAAGTTTTGAAATGAGCCTTTAGTTCCTTCAAGGAAGACCCTGAAACAATACCTAACTTATGAATTAGCTTGTGTGACGTGATCGACAGCTGTCAGCTCTTAGGCTCGACTTCAGGAGTTAGGCCTAATGAAAATAAAACCGACCTTGGTTGGTTTTGGTGAAGAATTAGTCTCAATGTTGAGAATTATTCTAATCAGATCCCTCGAATCCACCAATTTCAGCCATGAAAATCTACCAAACACGATATTACACCAGTTTAATAAACCAAACCCTGTGAAAAACTATAGTTGCAATTTAAATCCGAAAGCGCGAGTTTTAAATTAGTCTCAATGACAGATTATACCTGAGTCTTATTTAGTTGTTGTATCTCCTCTGGCCGGTGTTTGCGATGACGTCATCAACACCTTTAATTACTATTCTACCGGGGGGCTGAAAACAGTGATGAGCTGACTTTGCATACAGGCAGTCATACATAGGCAATATTCAGGCAGTCATACATAGGAGATATTCAGGCAGGATCATACATAGGAGATATTCAGGAAGTCATACATAGGAGATATTCAGGAAGTCATACATAGGAGATATTCAGGAAGTCATACATAGGAGATATTCAGGCGATCATACATAGGAGATATTCAGGCAATCATATAGAGGAGATATTCAGGCAGTCATACATAGGAGATACTCAGGCTGGATCATACATAGGAGATATTCAGGAAGTCATACATAGGAGATATTCAGAAAGTCATAGATAGGAGAAATTCAGGAAGTCATACATAGGAGATATTCAGTAGTCATACATTGGAGATATTCAGGCGGTCATACATAGGAGATATTCAGGCGATCATACATCGGAGATATTCAGGCAGTTATTCATAGGAGATATTCAGTAGTCATACATAGAAGATATTCAGGCGGTCATACATAGGAGATATTCAGGCGGTCATACATAGGAGATATTCAGGCAGGATTATACATAGGAGATATTTAGGAGTCATACTCATACATAGAAAATATTCAGGTAGTCATACATAGGAGATATTCAGGCAGTCAAACATAGGAGATATTCAGGCGTTATACTCATACATATAAGATGTTCTGGCATTAAACTTATACATATGAGATATTCTGGCGTTATACTCATACATAGGAGATATTCAGACATGATCATACATAGGAGATATTTAGGAGTCTTACTCATACATAGGAGATATTCAGGCGTTATACTAATACATAGGAGATATTCAGACAGGATCATACATAGGAAATATTCAGGCGTCATACTCATACATAGAAAATATTCAGGCGTTATACTCATACATAGGAGATATTCAGGCGTCATACTCATACATAGAAAATATTCAGGCGTTATACTTATACATAGGAGATATTCAGGCGTCATACTCATACATAGAAAATATTCAGGCGTTATACTCATACATAGGAGATATTCGGGCGTCATACTCATACATAGAAAATGTTCAGGCGTCATACTCATACATAGGAGATATTCAGGCAGTTCGTCATGAATTGGGTCCGACCTATCGTCTTGACGAGGACACTAGGATTTGGTATTTTACGGAGGGTGTGGGGGGTCTGCAGAGGACAATAACAGCCTCAGTTACAGAAGTACCGTGAGACGGATCGGAGAAATGTCCTCGTTGGATCCCGGTAGTTTTAGAATCTAGACTCCTAGTATATACAGTTTTGCATAGATATAAAACTAAGAGAACCCTGAACTATCATGTCAGATATGAGTTTTTCTAGAGTTATAAACAGTTTCCAGTGATTGGATTGCTTGACGTTACAGTAAAAATAAGACGGTGAAATATGTTTGGTTCTTTAACCAAGATTTTGCTGCTTTCATGAGTTTGAGATAAATGAACTTTCAGATGGAAATTATTCTTGATATCTGATCGATTCAAGATTAAGCCTTCACACCGAGGAGAGAGCAAGATGATACCTTGAAACTAAAAAGTGAAATATTTTTATATTATTTTGTTTGGATTTTATTGGATATCAAACTAAATCAGAAGTTTACCTTTATATCTATAGTACTATAGTGCTCGCCTTCTTATCCATTATTCAATTGAATATTAATTTTGAATATCCGGTCCTTCACCAGCTTCCAGAACTTCTTTGAGTTTCCAGAACTTCTTTGTGTGTATCCAGTACTCCCCTTAGTGACAGTGAAAAAGGATACCCCTGTACATAGAGTTAAACCTGGAGCAAGTTATAGTTTTGTAGTTCATTCCTAACCTAGAGTAAATTCTGAGGTAAGTTTTGTAGTTTTATCATACACCTTGATAAAGAATGTCTGTAAGATACTCAAGGGAAGAGAAACTAGAGAGGGATAAATTACCCAATTCTACACAATTCATTGCTCATTCATCATCAGTATTTGAAAATAGTAAATTTGTATCCATTCATCAGTTCAGAACAAAACACTGATTCTTTCAAATGATTTTTTTTCTCGCCATCTTCGACATCTTTTGAAACCTCATTTGTTTGTAGTTGTGTGTCATATATTTCTTAAATATTTACTTTTACAAGTTCATGGAAAATACAGTCCAAGGAACTACGTAATATATACTTAACTGTCCAAGGAACTACTGAATATATAACTATATACTGTCCAAGGGGACTACTGAATATAGAACTATATACTGTCAAGGAACTACTGAATGCAGAACTAAACTTTACAAGGTACTACTGAATATAGAACTATATTCTGTCCAAGATACTACTGAATATAGAACTAAACTGTCCAAGGAACTACTGAATATATACGTCCAAGGAACTACTAAATGTAGAACTAAACTGTCCAAGGTACTACTGAATATAGAACTAAACTGTCCAAGATACTAATGAATATAGAACTAAACTGTCCAAGAAACTACTGAATATAGAACTAAACTGTCCAAGGAACTACTTAATATATATACTAAACTGTTAGAGGGGACTACTGAATATAGAACTAAACTGTCCAAGGAATTACTTAATATATATACTAAACTGCCCAAGGAACTACTTAATATATATACTAAACTGTCCATGAAACTACTGAATATAGAACTAAACTGTTCAACAAACTACTGAATATAGAACTAAACTGTTAGAGGGGACTACTGAATATAGAACTAAACTGTCCAAGGGGACTACTGAATATAGAACTAAACTGTCCAAGGAACTACTGAACATAGAACTAAACTGTCCAAGGAACTACTGAATATATACTAAAATGTACAAGGAACTACTGAATATAGAACTAAACTGTTAGAGGGAACTACTGAATATAGAACTAAACTGTACAAGGAACTACTGAATATAGAACTAAACTGTACAAGGAACTACTGAATATAGAACTAAACTGTACAAGGAACTACTGAATATAGAACTAAACTGTTAGAGGGAACTACTGAATATAGAACTAAGCTGTACAAGGAACTACTGAATATAGAACTAAACTGTCCAAGGAACTACTGAATATAGAACTAAACTGTCCAAGGGGACTACTGAATATAAACTAAACTGTCCAAGGAACTACTGAATATAGAACTAAACTGTCCAAGGGGACTACTGAATATAGGAATCATAACATGTACATTTTGGCATCATTTTGGTATGTGGCTTTTAGATTTAAGGATAAAAATTATAGAAAATCTTAGTAAAGCAAAAAATATATTAAAGTGTCTATATGTTTTCCAACCCCACTTCCCTCTTCTCCTCTTTTTCCCACTAAGTGCATGTACATGCATATATCAATAAATTATACATAAATGTATCTATTTATGTATATTTATATATGTATCTATATATGTATCTATATATGTATATTCATACATATTTTTATTCATGGTCTCCGATAAACTTACTGCACCAACATTACGAATGAGAGCAATTTAAAAATTTCCATAGAAATTGTCGAAACAATCAGATAAATGATCTGTTCCAATGGGTTCTTATAAAGCTTCATATTTTTGTTTGAATATATCCGGGAATATTATTAAACTGTTAAAGTGTTCCTTATGAAAAAATTAAGCTAGCTAATGACTTATGATAATAAACTTATAACAGTTTACTATGAAAGCAATAGATAACATCAAATTCAAGCTAAAATGACTATTTTTAAGAAAAAATTAAAAGGCGAGTTATCATTAAATTTTAGCTATATTTGGCAGCTTCAAAAACATGAAAATCTTCTTTTCCTAGAAAATACAGAATTCTGATAAAATGAATATTTAAATATTTTATAATACCTATCTTTGCAACCTTATTGTTGTAGACCTAATATATTTCAAACTACGAATCCTGTTTCATCAAATTATTTAAGCTTGAAATATCAATGTTTTACACCATCATAATACAAAGATATAGCGATTAGAAAATTTTAGAATTCAGTTTCTTTTCACATTTTAAAAAAGCTCCATTTTATGGCATTTTTTTATGTTGACCGTCCATTTTAACCATGTCGGGGGTTCCATGAAATAATTTGGGCAGTTTTTACGTTTATTGCATACACTCAAACCATCATTAAAGCGAAATACAGGCTTATCTACAAAATATGCGACTTCAGAGACGACTGCATGGAATTAATCGAGTTCTTTCTTTTACATCGTTGAAATTTGACCGAATTGAAAACAAGCTTTTTTCATCGCACCATTGAAATAATATATGTTGAAGGCACAAGACCAAGTCGTAGATTCAGATCTTCATATTTAAAGAGTTTATTGTCGTCTTTTCGTCTCATCCTTCCTGGGTAACCCTGTAGCAGCACACACACATTTTTTCTCTTTTAATATTTATAAATGTTAAAATTCATTTTGTTTCTACTCAACTGTTTGAAGGTTAATAACGCGTGTCATTAAACAGAAATCCCTTTCTCCTCTATACTTCTATTCTTTATATCCCTGGACCAGTTCCTCTCTATATTCTTTATGTCCCTGGACCAGTTCCTCTCAATATTCTTTATATCCCTGGACCAGTTCCTCTAAATATTCTTTATATCCCTGGACCAATTCCACTCAATATTCTTTATATCCCTGGACCAGTTCCTCTCAATATTCTTTATATCCCTGGACCAGTTCCACTCAATATTCTTTATATCCCTGGACCAGTTCCTCTCAATATTCTTTATATCCNGGGTTAAAAAAAAGCTCATAAAAAGGTAACAACAGATCTTGAAAGGTAAAGTTATTGAGCTTTCAAAATATCGAGCTCAACACCGTATCTGTTCCTTACTATACTAACAAGTTTTCATATTACTTTTTATTAATATTTTGGTACAATTTTACTCTTGTTTTGTTTAGAGCAGAATTAGATTGGGTTTTTCAATCCTTCGCCATATTAGTTGTACTGCCCCTTCACATCACTCCCCCTCCTCCTCACCCTCCCCCATCTGTTCAGTTCTGTTCAGAACAGAAATAAAGTGGACTACAAAATTGTATATATGACGATATTGAATAAATACCCGGCCAAAATCTTAAATACTGCGATCAAAGTATGATTCAATGTTAGGTTTCAGAGAAAATAAAAAGCTGAACCCTCATCCTAGTTTTATTGACTTGTTAACCTCAGTTCTCGCTCCAGCGACTAAAGCATAAAAATATTTCACGATGCTTCGATTGTTTATGTATTCGGTTACTTGTGAGAAATTAAAATCATTTTTAATAAAATGAGTTATGATCAAAAACATATAAAATTTCAATCTTTATCCTAACAAAAAGTTTGAATTAGACTCATGATAGTTACTGTCTTGCATTGTGTAAAAGTGAAAAGTTAAACTTTTTAAAGAAATAAAATAAGTTTAATTATGTAGAAGGAACATGCAAGAAGTCCGTTAAAACTTATTAGAAAAGGCTACTCCTACTCCTACTCCTACTCCTACTCCTACTCCTACTCCTACTCCTACTCCTACTCCTACTCCTACTCCTACTCCTACTCCTACTCCTACTAGGACTAGGACAGGACTAGGACAGGACTAGGACAGGACTGGACTATGAAAGGACTGGGACAGGACTAGGACAGGACTAGGATAGGACTAGGATAGGACTAGGATAGGACTAGGATAGGACTAAGACAGGAAATTTGATGAAACTCATTTAATAAGACCGGCCTGGGTTTTCACAAAATTGCAGAAAAAAATTTGAATAAAGCACCTTGTAAACATGCAAACAATGACATTGCGAAAATTATTTAATAAAACGTATAAATTTTGCAAATCTTTTAAAAACAAAAAGCCAACTCATACAAATAAAGATATTTAAGATAAGGTTTACAGAAATATTTTAAAGACGGATATTATGTAATTTTAGACTGCAAATCAAATTCTTATTTTTTTACTTTTCCCATCCGTCCTTGTAGCTATAGCTAAAATCTGTTAGATAATATAAAGGGTGCTCGAACGAAGTATAATATTTTAAGGGACTTTGAACGTAATTCAAATTACTTGCAATTTTAATGAAAAGGGGCATGTCCGATTCCCAACAGTGATGGTACCCTAAAAAGCTTTATCTTTATCTCACAATTTCTCTATTGTTTCTTTAGAAAGAAATCCTTTTAAGTACTTTTATATAGAAACCAAAATAGAAATTAACCATTTCTCTAAAGAGAAGTTCTAAGACAAAGTTTTTAAGGGTGCCGTTGTGCATCGACGATGACATGCCACTCTAAAAAAGATGAGTTACTTGAAATTATTGGAAAAATATTGAAAGAAAAAGGAATTGAGTATTTGTCACAAACTCTGAAATTTTAATCTTTGGAACCCAATGTCGTAAATCTTTGATATTTCAAACTTATATTATTTGATCTAACAGAATTCATAGTTTGAAATATCTAATGTCTACGACATTGGAATCCAAAGATATAGGGTTTAGAAAAGCAGAGTTTGTGGCGAAGACTCAATTCCTTTCCGCTGCTATATTCTAAACTAATTTTTAAGCTTAACCGTACTCCGGCAACTTTCCGCCAACCTATTTGCTATTTGTAAACTAATAGTCAGCCAATACAGCTCAAATATAAATACGATCAAACTAATCAATTAAATTGTTTTAATAATGACGTCACTAATTGAAAACAGTTATATTTTGAAACGCGGAAAATGTAATCTTAACTTTCCAAGTCTTTAATTCCCATATACCAATTTCCAATTGTCGAATTTTAGCTATTTGAGATCTTATTCTAACGGCTATGTAAGATATGCTCAAATATAAAAGGTAAAAAATGTTCGTACATAAAAAATTGTGATAATTTACATATAATATTATTATTAGAATGA